TGTGTCTGTATGTATGTGGAGAGGTTTGAATGAGAAGGCCAGTTTAATGTGTGTACTCAAATATTATCTCTGTGTTTTGTGCTTAAGTTTCTTTGGTTGACTTTACATCAACTACCGGCTAGACGTTGTCCCATAGCACCTGTACAGGTGAGGGAAGCGTAGCCGAGGAAATGCAGAAGTAAGGGACGACTGTGATGTGATACACATAACTTACACTGTGTCAGAATTTTACCCCTGTGTTGAAGTGTGGTTTGGTTCAATATTATACCGTTCCATTTATAGATTTCCACGTGAATGCTTTGTTTTATTGCAGGAGAAACCAGCAATTCCAGAGAGGTAAGGGTTAAATTGTTGTAATACCCCAATTTATTGTTTACTGTGTAACTGATTGATATCCTCATGATTATTACTTATGATTGTGTTGTGCTGTGTTATTGATTAGTACTGGGAAGTATATCCTAGTGTTACCGTGTACTGATTGTCTGCGCGATTAAGATTTGTGATCTTTAACCACTGTGATGTGCCGAATTTATTGTGACATTCCCCCTGTGCGCATGAAATCAAGTGTTCCCAAAAAATTCTTTTTTATTTGTAAAATGATAAATTCCCCTCCCTGAACATGTCTGTAAAAATAAATACCAAATTCCACTTACTTTGGCTGTGGGGACGTAGACAAGGTGCGCTGTGATGTCATCAGGGCCTGGTCGCCCATGCGTGAAGCTCCCATACACGGTCGCGTGTGCCATTCAAGCACCGCGAGTTGCCACAAATATATTTTCAGTTATTTGTTCTATGTATTTTTAATGCGGTTCTATTTGTTTTTTTTTTACCGTATATGATGCATATTTGTGTCCTTTACAATATGTATACAATAGAACGTTCATAATGTTCCATGGATCTGTGATACATGTCAGTTAATTCAGAAGTGAGTAATAATCAACGATGTAGTCCATGGTACACAGCGCGACTTCGCTCTCGTTGCACCAGGTACAGATAGATTTTCGCTTCCTGTTTCTTCGTTCTGTGTGCTTGCAAATAACGCACTCACATACACCCTTGGCATTAGTATTTGTAGGTGGTATGTAGCCAAGCTTGTAAAGCTTGTAGTAGTCTTGTAGTAGTAATAGTAGTAGTAGTAGTAGTAGTAGTGTAGGTAGTCTTGAAAAGATTATAGGAAAAGATCATCAATTTGTATGGTAGCCTTGAAAAGATAGCTTTGTAAGGTCCCACACCGGAAGAGATTCAGTCATTCTCGAAGAGTGTCAGTCAATCTGGAAGAGATTCAGGCATTCTGGAAGAGATTCTGCCATTCTCAAAGTGTGTCAATCAATCTGGAAGAGTTTCAAGCATTCTGGAAGAGATTCAGCTATTCTTGAAAATATCTATGGAAAACAATACCATGGAAGCTGCTAACACTGTTTTTTGTATCAGCTGCATTATCACTGAACCCAGAAAATGATTCATCTATATAGTATCATCTATATATTGACCAGACCACACACTAGAAAGCGAAAGGATGATGACGTTTCGGTCTGTCCTGGACCATTCCTAAGTCGATTGTGAAGTCAATCTGGAAAAAATTCAGGCATTCTGGAAGAGATTCAGCTATTCTTGAAAATGTCTATGGAAAACACCACCATGAAAGCCGCTATTATTCGCCTGCTGAATGGCTAAATCTCTTCCAGAATGCCTGAATCTCTTCCAGATTGACGGGAAGAGATATGCGATATTCGCCTGCATATCATCTATATAAATTAGAGATGGCTCTGAGTGTCACCCTTGCGCCATCCAGGGCAAGGGTGGCGCTCAGAGCCACAACTGGATACGCTCACTGTATCGTCCTAATAGGTGCTGTATCACTTGCACCTGACCTTTGTGTTAGGTCCTTATTGTGCCTAGCTTTATCAATATCATGACCCTTATGTTCTTCAAGCAGTAAGGTCTGAATTTCACTGATAGAGAGCGATCTTTCAACACCGCGTCGGACAGGTATTTGAGAGCCAGAGGTGCGTGCGCCACCCATGGTTGCTCACCCAGCCAGCAGCCCTAGGACATTCTGGGAATTTTTTTGAAGATGGCGGCCTCTCACTGGAGGTCCCAAGAGTTCATTTTGTACCCAACCTAACGCGAGCGCGTTTCGATTGTTTACAAAAAAAAAAAAATAAAAAATACTTTTGTCGATTGGCGCAGTAATCAGCGAACGGCATTTGTTTGGCGCGGTGCAGTGGTTAATTGGTAATTACAGATTCAATCAAGTTAATTAGTGTAATTAACGTAGTCAAGTGAAGTGACATTCTTATTTGGCAGGCTATCGTGAGTGACAGTGTTAATGTAATTCGTTCTTGATTAATTAACTGTTCATGTGACAGTAATTGTTGTAGTTACCCTCTGGGTGTTTAATTGGTCCTAATGACAGGAATTACGGTTAGTAAATTATTGTTTTGATTGGCTCTTTGAGAGACAGGTCGTAATTAACGTAGATTACCTTGTTGTTGACTGTCGGATGACAGTAATTAAAGTAATTGATCCAGAGATTAATTAGTGTAAATAACCGTTGTTTTTATTTCCGTCCCGAGAGACTTGTGATAACGTAATTGAGAGGGTTACCAGAGTCTGTCTCAGTGACCTGTCTTGCTGTGTTTTCATTGTTGTTAATTGTTTTACTGTAATTGTTTGATTGCATTTTGAATCCCAAGTGAACACCCATATTGTTCAGTCTAGTTCTTTATAGTTCATTATACCAGCCAAGAGCGGTACGGATAGGAATCCGTACTATGCTAAGAGCGGCAAGGATACCTTCAATATCTTCCGATATTATTGTCTCATCCATGCTGCAACATACTGAACTAATTCTTGCACTTAATGAAGGCCTGCTTCTGGATTCGAACCTGATTCATAGCCATTATCACTGAATATTAAATTTGGTGCGAGAATCCGTAGGCTACCCTTAAGATTGCCATAGGCATTAGAGGAGCAGCTTAATGACCTAGTGGATGAGAGTTCCAAGGACTTTGATTCTGGTGGCTGCTCTTGCTATTTATTTAAGTTTTAAAGTAAAAGTTCACATCTGGCATTTAATGTGCTGGCTTGTACAGTCCTTCCTGACTGAGGAACACTTGTACCATTATCAACACTAATACATAATCTCAAGAACCCCCTTCCATTGTAACATCAGGCAGTGATGACATTTCTGGGGTGCACTCTCCTATGTTTTGTAGACATACCGCTAGGACCTGGTTGTGGCTCATTGGTTGTCTCGCTAAGAATCTGTCTAAAGACACTTGTTTTTGCCTACGTTTTAACAATTACAGGGGTACCTTGGTTTAAGAGTTTAATCCATTCCTGGAGACAGCTCGTAAACCGAAGCTAATTTCCCCATAAGAAATAATGGGAAATGAATTAATACATTCCTGACGATCCAGAAACCTCACTTCAAACTAAATTTTATACCCAATTCATCCAAATCTACACTACAAAAGTATGTTCAAGTTATTACTTACCCTTGCTGATGACTCCTGTTGGCGTATGGAAGATGGTGAGGAGGGGGAGGAGGAGAGATGTTACTGTTTGGAAGGAGAGTTCACTTCCATTATAACATCAGGCAGTGAAGATTTTTCTGGAGTTCACTCTGGCACGTTTTGCCTGCATGCCACTAGGTCCTGGTTGTGGCTCACTGCTCGATTTTCTCACTTTTCTCACAAGGAAACTTTCCATTGAAGATTGTTTTTCCCTTCTTTGCAACACTTGTCTGTAGTGAGGCATCACACTGTCATTAAAAAGATCAATGCCTTGGCCTACTACAACTTTATCTGGGTGATTCTTTTCAGCAAAACTTTCCAGTCCTTCCCATACTGCACACATTTTTTTAATTAATGAGGAAGGGGACATTCTCTACTGCCTCCTCCTCCCCTGAAGATTTGTTGTACTGCCTAGCTAGTTCAACAACACGAGTACCATTTTTATGCTTCCGAATGATCTCTTGTTTTTTCTCTATTGTCATCCTTACATGCGATTTCTTGCCTTGAACCTTACCACTGGCTTTCTTGAGACCCATGGCGAGATATATAATAACACCTTTTATGCTCAAATGGCCAAATATCTGACAAAAAATTGTAAATCCTTGTAAAGAATTCAGGCGGGATAGTCACTGGGTGCGAGGCACTAGTAAACTGGGGCGCGATCGCCGTGCCACCACCCGCTAGGTCGCCGTACGCGTATCAACAAACTCGTTACCCGATGCAATATTCGTATCCTGATGCAAATTTTCCGAACAAATCTGGCTCGTAACCCGAAAAACTCTTATACAGGGACGCTTGTAACCCGGGGTTCCACTGTACCTGTAGTGAGACATAACTTTGTCATTAAAAATGTTAACACAACAGCTTGCTACAGCTTTATCTGGGCAAGTCTTTCCAGCAAAACTTTGCAGTTCTTCCCATACTCTGCACACATTTTCCTAGCCAGATTAACCATGTTCAATAATCTTCATGGTTATGAATGATATCTTTTTTTTTCCTTCTATTGTCATCCTCACAACTATTTTCTTAGGTTTAATGTTACTACTGACTTTCTTGGGACCCATAGCGTGACATAAAAGTTTTTATATGTTAAGCAGAAAAAATAAGCACAAATTACGAAATTGTTCACAGAATTCAAGTACAGTTATTACTAGGTGGGATACAAGCGTCGACTGATCTTACTGACTCGACAAGTATGAATGAGTGGTTCATACTCTAGAGTGAACATTGTACACCTGGGCATATTTCCTGACAATTTTCGTCATTGACCAGAAAATTCGTATTCAGGCGGAATCGTACACCGAGGTTCCACTGTATTATATAATCTTTATGAAAAAAGGATGAAAGCCCTTGTAATTTGTAGTAGTTAATGATATTAATCTTAATAGAGCTAGTTTGATTGGGTCCATTAGTAGTAACTTGAATACCCAATTCCTGACATTTTTTTTATACCCTAATATGTGTACTGTACTTGTTTTGCAGGCTGGTCGCAACTTCAACAAACATCTCTCAATGAGATATATTAGACATCTAATGGGAGTTCACCCAGACTCTAAACAGCATTTACCAAAGGTCTACCTCCATGCGATAAATTCTGAAAATCCCACAGAGTTTGATTCCCGTACAGCTTGGTCCATGTGTCCTACCATCAGTGAAATTCGGGACCAAGGGTCGTGTGGATCTTGTTGGGTAAGGACTACTGCAATTATTACAAAAAAAATTTTTTCCTGCAAAGCTTTTGGGTGTGCTTTTGGGTTTGGGATTGTTGTTGTTTTATATTTAGCATGGGCTATGGTGAGCCCGTAGTGGACTTACCTGGGACAGGAGCGAGGCTGTGTAGGGTTTGGAATATTTGTAGCCCTTTAGTCAATACTCTATTGGGATTTTTTTCGAAATGTTTTGTTGCAGTTTAGTACAACTGGAAGCAATAAGTATGATTAATACATATTTTGTTTTGTTTGTTTTTATATACATGTCACATTGAATGGTTGCATGCTCTAGTACAGTACTTGATATGTTACCTTGTAACAAGAGCTTTAAATAATTTTTTTAAACAGGACTGTAATCTCCAAAATTAACATGTTCTTGATGGTTCAACAAACCATAAGATAAGAAATATATATTGATGAAGCAGACTTGAAAGCCATCATAGCAGACATTCATTAAGAGGTGTTAAGAGAATAATGATAAGACACTCAGCTCGAGTTCTGTGGGTAAGAGCTAGTTTAATGTGGGATTATCTGTGGGTCAGTATGTCCATAAAAATTTAGTAGGAATAAGGACATATTACCAAGTGGATTTATTGAGGAGAACCCCAGAAAAGACATGCAAAATGGAGTCCTATATATTTGCCAACATAAAAGGCGACGTCAAAACAAGATACAAAGATTTGTTCATAAATGGGGGATTGCAATATAAGCCTAACATGTATATACAGTATATATACACTGGCTGCTTGTCCCGCAACAAAATACATTGTAATTATTATAATCAGGGGACAGTACTACAGTATCTCAGATACATTCAATACTCAGTTCATAAGCTCATAGAAGCCCAAACTAACATTAACCTTTTGCATCACATCAGGTGATGGGGTGGCTAAATATGCTCAAGACTGCATCACATCAGGTGAAGTAGTACAGCATAAAATTTAAATGTCCCTCGCAGAAAATAGGACATTTTACGCTGCCCAGGGGCAATAGTAAACAGCGGCTATTTTGAAAAAAGTCGTAGTTCGGTTTGGCGGGAAGGCCTCATTGTCTCTAGCAAACATGTTGAAGTATTATTGTCTGGGTCACCCGTCGTGCTGTGGCTCACTACAAACATGCTGGCTGATGATGAAATTTCAGGATGAACTTTTTCAACTGACGAGCAAATTATCAAGAATAATTATGACAGTATTTATAATGATAATGCCCAGGGCTCCAGTATAAGTGATACAGACAACAACGTAGATGCACATGTTATTGTCCCGAGGGTGACACATACTCGACCACCAGCACTGCATGGTGGTGGAGTATGTGGTCCATACTCCACCTGGGCCACTTAATGTTCCTGAAGACCATGAACATGTTGAAGATAGAATCATTATTAGGATTTAGTGAGGTAGAATCTGAGACTAATGTACATGCTGTTACAAGCTGAGAGCTGCTGCGTCAGCTGCTCACCCCACCAAATGCTTCCATTCCACCTGCCATGGGGAAATTGAGGGAAGACTGCCCTCACCTTTCAACGTTTGTATTTTCAGTGTGTATAGTAGTGGTCTTTATCACCTAACCAACATAGTTTTGTTGGTTCTAGGATACATGGTTGTGGTGTTGGTGGTGCCACTGACGGAACAGGTTTACTCGTGTGGGGAGATGGTCCATACTGAGTACCACAAATTCAAACATTTGACAATTCATATAATTGTATAATGTTCTACTGTATATTCACCAACAGCATGCCTCCATTCTTCTATTTCACATTACTGAAAGATAAAGGCACTTGATATCACAAGACTTAAGATATAGTATGGTACTGCATTTTTCTTATACAACCCCTTGTATTTAAACCATATATTTACATTAATATTTTGGCATAAAACATTTTAATTATACCTTTATGTATACTGTATGAAGATATATAGATTCAAGAATGATAGACAACTACATTTACTACATATGTTGTAATTTTCAGGCATTTGGTGCAGTTGAAGTGATGAGTGACAGAATGTGTATTCACAGCAAGGGCAAAGAAAATTTCCACTTTTCAGCAGAAGACCTTGTTTCTTGTTGCCACTTCTGTGGCTTTGGATGTAATGGTGGGTTTCCTGGGTCAGCCTTTAAATACTGGGTGAATATTGGCCTTGTATCAGGCGGTGCATATAACAGCAGTCAGGGATGTCAGCCATATGAGATACCCCCCTGTGAGCATCATGTATCTGGGCCTCGGCCAAAGTGTTCCGAGGGTGGCAATACTCCCAAATGTGTCAAAAAGTGTGAACCTTCTTATACGGTTGATTATAACCAGGATTTGCATCTTGGCAGTAAGGCTTATAGTATTGCCAAGGATGAACAGCAAATCCAGTATGAAATTATGACCAACGGTCCTGTTGAAGGAGCTTTTACTGTTTATGCAGATTTTCTTCACTATAAGTCAGGAGTTTATCAGCACCTTCATGGCTTACCTCTTGGTGGTCATGCTATTCGTGTGCTGGGCTGGGGGGTGGAAAATGGCACTCCTTATTGGCTGTGTGCTAACTCTTGGAACAGAGACTGGGGAGATAATGGCTATTTTAAAATTCTGAGAGGATCTGATCACTGTGGCATTGAGAGTGAGATTACTGCTGGTCTACCTTAGCTAAGTTAGCTAATAGCATAGCATAGAGTACTCTACTTCCTGTAGTCTCTGCATGTTTGCCTTCACCTGAGCTACACCAGAGCCAGTTCATTTTCTTGAGTCCTAGAATACAACATGTTTAGTGATAGCATATAATTGTTCTGGATAATCTCTAATGACCATTATTGTCAATTAGTTGGAAAATATAAGTATGGCAAGTATATAATGGATGTCATACTTTATGGTTGAATAGTTGATCAACCAATTGTAATACAGTATTTAACAAATAGTTTATAGATTTATAAACCATGATTTTACATTGAAATATAAATAACTCACTTTATTTACTAAGTACAGTAAACTAAATAGTTTACAAGTATTAAATGTTATTCATGAATTATTATTATGTATTTTTAAAATAAACATTATATTGAATGTGGTGTTTTCTTACATTTTTGTATCCATGAATATCAGTAAACATTTTAGATTAATGTTCTGCTGCTGGACACCATTAGAGGTCCTACTTCAAATCAAACTAAAGAATTTTATTTTTTATTATTGATATTGAACTAAAGTATTGTCTCTACTTCCTCTATTCTGTGTTTTATGTTGCTGACCTCGCCACTTGCTCGTGGTGTAACGTTTTCCCTTCTTTGTTACCGACTTCAACCTGCGACTAACGGTGTGTCACCATTGGCTATCTGGCACCTTTATGTTCTCTACTACAAGAACTTGTGTCATGACTTTTAGTAGTAAACATATCTGCCCTTGACCTGTTATGGAAATCAACTTGTAGTGATAAGGCCAGGTAGACCCTATGGCACTTATGCTGTGGCATAACAACATACTGGAGTGAACGATACTGAAGAAAATGCAGAATAGAACCAGTGAAGAGCAGAGGTGCCATAGGCACAATCGGAGAACACTGTATAAACATCAGAGGTCCGCGGTTTTTCAACGTCCTCCCAGCGACTATAAGAAATATTGCTGGAACAACCATGGACATCTTCAAGAGAAAACTAGACTGTTTTCTAAAAAATGTGCCAAACCAACTGGGCTGTGGTGGGTATGTGGGCTTGCAGGCCGCTCCAAGCAACAGCCTGGTGGACCAAACTCTCACAAGTCAAGCCTGGCCTCAGGCCGGGCTTGGGGAGTAGAAGAATTCTCAGAACCCCATCAAGCAGGTATACAATATAAAGTTAATTGTATCAATACATACTACTACAGGAAACACTACTGCTGTAGTGTCTCTAATGGTGCTTGGCGGTATTTAATTGTGTGTGTGTGTTTTGTTTCACCAGCAACAACTGTGCAGATGTGTATAGAAATGAACTAGCTTATATATTTTGGTTGGCTAATTCATATGATGCTAACTTCATGGTGGTAGCAGACTAACAGATTTTTAAAGACATGATGCACACTTAAATTTACTTAGTGCATCCATGTGAACTAAAAAAAATGTACATAATCCTGCTCTGATCAACCCAGGACTGACTCAACACCAATAGATGGTAGTGCTTCAGCCAGGTCAAGGCTGCCATAGGCAGGGAAAGTGATGCCGACCGAGAGTCCCAAACGAAGACCAGCCTGGTTGATACCTGGTTGATGGGGTTCTGGGAGTTCTTCTACTCCCCAAGCCCGGCCCGAGGCCAGGCTTGACTTGTGAGAGTTTGGTCCACTAGGCTGTCGCTTGGAGCGGCCCGCAGGCCCACATACCCACCACAGCCCGGTTGGTCCGGCACTCCTTGGAGGAATAAATCTAGTTTCCTCTTGAAAATGTCCACGGTTGTTCCGGCAATATTTCTTATGCTTGCTGGGAGGACGTTGAACAACTGCAGACCTCTGATGTTTATAGTGTTCTCTGATTGTGCCTATGGCACCTCTGCTCTTCACTGGTTCTATTCTACATTTTCTTCCATATCGTTCACTCCAGTACGTTGTTATTTTACTGTGTAGATTTGGTACTTGGCCCTCCAGTATCTTCCAGGTGTATATTATTTGATATATCTCTCGTCTTCTTTCTAGTGAGTACATTTGGAGGGCTTTGAGACGATCCTAATAATTTAGGTGCTTTATTGCGTCTATGCGTGCCGTATATGTTCTCTGTATTCCCTCTATTTCAGCAATCTCCTGCTCTGAAGAGATTGCTGAAATAGCCAAGTCTGAACCCGGGACGGAGCCAACAGGGACTCCCGCCAGTTCACCAGGAACCCAAACCCACTGAGCTGGGAAAGAACCAGGTCCCTGGCAGGGAACCCACACCAGCCAGTCATCGAGGTAGACCAAACAACCGAAGACGAACCCCAATGACTTAAGGTGTGTGAACATCCCTGAACGTGTGAAGCATGTGAACATGCATGGCTTCAAGCTCTGTGAAGTGGCTAAATCTAGCTCCAAGTGTGTGAACCAGATTTGAACCATGGAGCCTAATTTAGCCTTAACAGGAGGACCCATATGTGTTAAGCCTGCAACCTCACCACAGCCTAGCCAATCCCTGAATCCTGAATACAGATGAACATGACAATATTACATCTAGGTGGTTCAGGGAATTCATCCAAGTGTCTGCCTCATGAATGAGATGAACCTGGGAAAATGTGGTCACCCAGGAGGAGGGGCAAGGAATGAACAACTTCAACCACAAAAGGTCAAGGATGGACCGTAGGTCTGGTGAGTCCCATTTTGAGACTGGGAAGAAGTGGAAAACCCACAGGAGAGACAAGGTCATTTCAGCCGCCCGCTCCAAGATGACCCAATGTAGGTGAGGAGAGGCAACCTGTCCGGAAAGATCCGAAACACAGGAAGGGGAAGGGGACTGACCAATTTCACTGCAGGCTAAGGGAAATGACACAAAAAGCCTACAAATTGCGGGAGCATGAGTTGGTAAACCAGACAAGCTGCCTCGCCAAAGGGCCGGAGCGAACCACCAGAGGCCTCCTTTCAAAAAGAGCAAGCACGGTGGGGTCCAAACTCTCATGTCCTGGGAGTGGTAAAATGGACAAAACTAGAAAAACTGGAAGAATGCCTGGAGCCAAACTGCTCTGGGAAAAGACAATTGCCGGCAAAGTCTAAATTTCCTCAACTGCTCGACTAACCTCTGAACCCAAACCGTCCTCAGACCAAGTCCATTCTATCCAGCAGTCAATCCCAAAAATGCATTCATCAATTTTAACATTCTGTTCATTCAAAACAACTTCTTTAGCATATTGAACAAATGTAGGCACTGGTTAGGTTAGGTAATTACTCAAGTGTAGTTACAGGATGAGAACTACGCTCGTGGTGTTCCGTCTTCCCAGCACTCTTTGTCATATAACGCTTTGAAACTACTGACGGTCTTGGCCTCCACCACCTTCTCACCTAACTTGTTCCAACCATCTACCACTCTGTTTGCGAAAGTGAATTTTTTTATATTTCTTCGGCATCTGTGTTTAGCTAGTTTAAATCTATGACCTCTTGTTCTTAAAGTTCCAGGTCTCAGGAAATCTTCCCTATTGATTCCTGTTACTATTTTGTATGTAGCAACAGGAATTGATAAAATCGATAGGGAAGATTTCCTGAGACATCCTTGAGGTCCAGGAACACCATCCAAGCCTCAGCTTGTAAAACCAGCCACACTTGAGCTAAGGTCGTTATGCATAAGGATTGACAGGACAAACCCAAAAGATCGAGGATATACCATAGGTCTGCCCAGTCCTTCTTTGGGACCGGGAACACCTGCAACACCTGACACACACCTAAAGGATGAGGTCAACTTGACTACGCCCAAGGCCAACCAACCCACAATGACTAGACGTAGAGCCAGGGAGGATATCTTGACAAAAACCCCAACCCCAAGTGGGAAGGACTGACCAACTCCACAACAGGCCACGCGAAATCCCCAAGTCCTACAAATCTTAGGACCAGGAACTGGCAAGATAAGCTAGATACAGCATCAAAGGGGAAAACTGCAAAAGGGATACCACGAGCAGAACGACCTTTTCATGGCACGTAGTTGTGATGTCTACCAGAAAAGGGACTCGATATGAAGCGCAATGGCCTGGGAATCTGACTTTCCCCGAGGACTTGCCTCGACCAACAATAGGCAAAGTCTCAACCCCATCAGACTGCCTTTGAGCAGGGGCAGAACCTAGAGAAAACAACAAATGATCAATAGGCCGACAGGAGAAGGTACCACAGACAGAACTTGGGACACTGCTTCCTCTGGAAAGAGGAGAAACGAGAAAAGGGAGAGAGATGGTGACGAATCTAACAAATGGGCCAACTTGGCCTGAGTACAATACATGTGAGGCGTGCTGAGTCAAATGGTGCCAAAGAATCCTGAAGAGTGGGGCGAGCATCTTGGGCATGGCCGCCAAAGCGGGAACCACAGACTTCAAGACCTCCACACCCGGGGCCGGTACCAGGCAAAAACCACATCTTCACGGAGCTACCCAAAGAGCCATTCAAAGAGGACCCAAACCCACAAGACCACCACTAAGTGCAAATGTGCATTGTGATCATCGACTTGGAGCTGCCATTTGCCCACACCCCTGAGGAGTGCTGAAGCGAACAGGTAATCCCTAAGTGGAGCATAAAAAGTGCCACCCAAACACCTGAAAGAAGGAAGACACCTGCTAATCTAGCATGCAGGTCCAACAGCACCCTTGCCCCAAGGAAAAGAGGGGGATGTCAGCCAGCTAGGATGAATCCAAAACCTCACATCACAGAAATAAGTTAAGAAAGAGGTCCAAATTCTGCATCAGATACCAAAACAAATCTGCAAGCCACTGAAGGGAAAATGCGGGAAGACAGAAATATGATGATTTCCAAGACACTGAATGGGACCCAAGGGGGAGCAGCCAAATGATCATACTCATACACAAGAGAATATGAAAACTTATCCCCCTGAAGCAAAAGACCCTCTGGAGAGGAAACTACAAGTCCAATACGTGTTCAAAGACACCCATGGACACTTTCACCTGGTACTTTTCTCATACTCGTATCAGATAAAACCGAGGATACAAACTATGGTACTGTATCATCATTTGCTGATGACACTAGAATTTTCATGCAAGTTGACAGATGTAGAGGACACGTCAAATATCCAATCGGGTCTTTCAATGGGCCACAGTACATGTAATACATGTACTGTGTATTACATGTAACAACAATACAATAATACAATACTATACAATATGCACAGTAATACAATGCTTAATGAAGATAAGTTCCAGCTCCTGCACTATGGAAAAAACAAAAATATAAAAATGGAAACTATATATATAAAAGTCAAATCACACTATAGAATGAAAAAGCAATGTAAAGTATCAAGGAGTAAAGTCATCGTGTCGGAAGACCTTACCTATAAAGAACAATAAAATAGCTGTCACAACTGGAAGAAAAATGACAGGTTGGATAACAAGAACTTTTCAAACATGGGATACCATACCAATGATGAT